GTGATGGGCAGGGCTTCTGTCTGCCCGGTGACTCTAGCTTCATTGCTAAATGGCTAACTTGAAGCGGTGAAGAGGTGCTTCTGACTGAGCCCAGCCCAGTTTGATTAACTTTTTGTCGGTGTCGGCTGGAGGATTTTCCCCGGGACTCCGACAACAGGTGTACGTCACAATCACGCCCCCACATGAGCAAGCTACTGATTGGTTAACGTGGCTCGAATGTCAGCTGAAGTTCAGACTTTTAAACTCAAGCAATTCGCATGAAACATGCGTCAAACGCGCGAAACGCTCAATTCGCGCATATCGCACTATTCGCGCAATTCAGGTCTATTGAACCGCGCCATTTACGCGTATCGCGCCACAGGATGTCTATTCACGCGTTTTCATTGACTTAACATGTAAATCTGTTAACCAAAGACGTCAGAGGTTGACATTAAAAGCAGTGTGGTGTACGGTAAAATTTAAGTTTTCTATTTATGGACTTTGCAACGCGGTGGCACTGTAGGTAGAGTTGTCGCCTCACAGCAAGAAGGTCACCGGTTCGATCCTCGGCTGGGTTAATTGGTGTTTCTATGTGGAGTTTGCATGTTCTCCCCATGTTGGTGTGGGTTTCCTCCGGGTGCGCCGCTTTCCCCACAAGGCCAAAGACCTGCAGTAAAGTTGAATTGGGTAGGCTAAATTGTCCATAGTGTATGAGTGTGTGAATAGGTGTGTGTGGATGTTACCCAGAGATGGGATGTGTCTGGAAGGACGTCCTCTGCATAAAAACGTGCTGGATAAGTTGGTGGTGCATTCCACTGTGGCGACCCCAAGAGAATTAATGAGAGAAAAAAGAGAATTAATGAATTAATACATTTTTGAACTTTGATTTTCGAATTTGGCATCCTACCGCACAACACGACGTGTTTGCTATTACAACCAACAACCAACAATCAAGACCAACTGGTCTTGTTTTGCAACCAGTATGTGACGTCATGTGTGACGTAGGTTGGCAATTTCCCTATAGTGCATGTGTTTGGACTTCGGGGGAAACCGGAGCACCCGGAGAAAACCCACGCCAACACAGGAAGAACATGCAAACTCCACACAGAAATGCCAACTGACCCAGCAGGATATCTTAGTATACATGTAGATAAGCCGTGAAGACTTTCTTTTGTATATTGATGTGTTTTTCTTTTGGATAGTTAGGGTAGAGTTTGGGCCAATAGAATAGCTTGTTTTGCTTTTTTTTTATTTGTATTGTTTGGACGCTGCCCGTGTCTCATCTCTCCAATTCTCCCATCTACCCGTTTGTTGTCTGATTTTCAATATATCTTTGTAAATAGCTATTGTTCTTTCTACATACATATTGTTGCACTTATTATCACTATGTAAATAAAACTCACTTTATTGCATTTGGGTATCATTCATTCATTCATTCATTCATTTTCTTGTCAGCTTAGTCCCTTTATTAATCCGGGGTCACCACAGAGGAATGAACCGCCAACTTATCCAGCAAGTTTTTACGCATCAGATGCCTTTCCAGCTGCAACCCATCTCTGGGAAACATCCACACACACACACTCATACACTACAGACAATTAAGCCTACCCAATTCACCTGTACCGCATGTCTTTGGAATTGTGGGGGAAACCGAAGCACCCGGAGGAAACCCACGCGAACGCAAAGAGAACATGCAAACTCCACACAGAAACGCCAACTGAGGCGAGGATAGAACCAGCGACCTTCTTGCTGTGAGGTGACAGCACTTGGGTAGTCGGGGTATTTTGTCCCTCACTTGTTGATATTGTGTGTTTGCTTATGTGTTTCACCCCAAAATTAGCGTTACTCTCCTGCCCCGTAACCATCTTCAACATTGTAACAATCAGCATACAGTTAAGAATAAACATTTTGCAATATACATTATATCTAAATGATTTCTTACAATGAAGTTTCAGAGCTCAACTCTTACTGGGGAACATGATCGTCCTTTCTTCATGAGCACAATGCAAAAAAACACACCAATGAACTGTCTGACCTCACTGTATGCACGTATATCACCATGTGTTTTACTGCAGAATCTAATGAAACCCTCTAACCAAGATAAACTGATCCTGTCTTGGCGTGCTGGAATTTATTTTAGGGGACCGGGCTGTCTGTGTGTGTGTGTGTAGCCTCTGGTTAAGATTGAAACACCCCCCCACCCCCACCACCCCTCACACAAACCTCTGTGCCAACTGTTGTATAACAAAGCTGTTAAATGAGAGGGGCCCGAAACCCAACATTATTTATCCGTGTGTGTGTGTGTGTGTGTGTGTGTGTGTGTGTGTGTGTGTGTGTGTGTGTGTGTGTGTGTGTGTGTGTGTGTGTGTGTGTGTGTGTGTGTGTGTGTGTGTGCGTGTGTGTGCGTGTGTGTGTGTGTGTGTGTGCGCGTAATGAAAAGTGTGAACTGAATGGATGACATTGAGATTTAGATGTGCTCAGTGTCTGGGAACGGTTGGAGCTGCTTTATGTGTGGCTTTTATAACCTACTCTGAAAACAATCGTGATAAAAGATTTAAAGGTAAAATAGGGAATAAATATCATCATAAAATAAATATGACTTTACTTATTTTTGAAATAAACTGTAAGTAAACTTTGAAAGCTAAAATATTTTGACATTTTGTTGTTAATTATTAATTATTAAAAGGGCTTCACAGTGGCTCAGTGGTTGCTCACAGCAAGAAGGCCACTAATTCGAGTCCTGGCTGGGTCAGTTGGCATTTCTGTGTGGAGTTTGCATGTTCTCCCCGTGTTGTTGTGGGTTTCCTCCAGGTGCTCCGGTTTCCCCCGAAGTCCAAACACATGTGCTATAGGTGAATTGGATAAGCTAAATTGCCCATAGTGTATGAGTGTGTATGAGTTGTGGCAGGAAGGGCATTCGCTGTGTAAAACATATGCTGGAATAGTTGGCGGTTCCTTCCGCTGTGACGACCCCTGATAAATCAGAGACTAAGCCGAAGGAAAATGAATGTATGATTTTATCTGATGGCAGGAAAATAAAAATATTTCTCAATTTCATCTACTGTAGAACTCCAATCCGGGGAGGACTGGTTATCTGGCAACTGTGGCAAATGCCAGAAGGGCTGGACCATTTTATAAATGTGGGCCGGTCAGTTTTAAACAAATGTATATGTATTGTTTTTCCATACAGGTAGCTTTTATCTCATGCTAAATGTGAATATTATAATGATGATGATGATGATGATAGTAATAATAATAATAAATGTTAAGCATTTGGCCCAATCGACAACGGACGCCTGGTTTCGAGGTCCAATCCGACCCAATCAGAGGTTACGCGGACGTAATCAAAATCTGGCAAGAATGTCAAACAAACAGTAAGAGCAACACAAGCTAATTGTAAGAAATGGTCCATAAAAAGAAAAGGTGGTGCTGAAAAGCTCAGAGAAAGCAAAAAAAAAAAAAAAAAAGCTCTAAAATTGGTTGAAGACTGTGGGTGTTTACAGTGATTTGACTGATAAACACCCTGCTGAAAAATCCAGCTTAAACCAGCCTAGTCTGGTTGGCTGGTTTTAGTTGGTCAACCAGGCTGGTTTTAGAGGGTTTTTGGCCATTTCCAGGCTGGTTTCCAGACATTTCCAGCCTGGTCTTAGCTGGTCAGGCTGGAAAATGACCAGCTAAAACCAGCCTGACCAGCCTGGTTTAAGCTGGACATAGCTGGTTTTAGCTGGTCATCTCCAAAAAATCTCCCAAAAATGGTGGTTTGCTATCTCCAGGTTGGAGAAAAGTTCTGTGTGTGTGTGTTTGTTTGTGTGTGTTTTATGTTCTATCATTAATGTGAGTTCCAGCATATGTGTGTGTGTGTGTGTGTGTTTTATGTTCTATGATTAATGTGAGTTCCAGCATATGTGTTTGTGTGTGTGTGGTTGTTTTATGTTCTGTTTGTTGATGTGTGTATTATGTGTGAGTTTTTTATGTACTCTGAATTTACTCTGAACTTTATATACTCATTGTGTTTATGTGGGTCTTATGCTCTCTCTCTCTCTCTCTCTCTCTCTGTGTGTGTGCGTGTGTGTGTGTGTGTGTGTTATGTACACTCTCTCAGCTTCTCTCTTGCTGTGTATGTACTTTATGTACTCATTCGGCTCAGTACCTTTATTAATCAGGGGTTGCCACAGCAGAATGAACTGCTAACTTATCCAGCATATGTTTTACACAGTGAATGCCCTTCCAGCTGCAACCCAGTACTGGGAAACACCCATACACACTCATTCCCACACATAGACTATAGACACTTTTAGCTTACCCATATCCCCTATAGCGCATGTGTTTGGACTGTGGGGGAAAACGGAGCACCCGGAGGAAACCCACACAAACACAGGGACACAGAAATTACTACTCAAACCAGCGACCTTCTTGCTGTGAGGCGATCATGCTACCCACTGCGCCACCGTGCAGCCTACTTTATGTACTATGAGTGTATATTTTATGTATAGTACTGTGTGTGTGTGTGTGTGTGTGTGTGTGTGTGTGTGTGATTTAGACTCTGTGTGTATTTTATATATTCTCTCTCCCACTTTGTGTGTGTGTGTGTGTGTGTGTGTGTGTTTGTATAATGTATAGTACTCTCTCTGCGTGTGTTTGTATGTGTGTGAATTTCAAATACTCTGTCTCTCCACTGTGTGTGTTTGTTTAATGTACAGTACTGTGGTGTGTGTGTGTGTGTGTGTGTATGAATTTATTCTGTCTCTCTCTTGCTGTGTGTGTATTTTTATGCACTTTATGATATATATCCTATATGTTCTCTCTCTCTGTACATTTTATGCACGAACACTCTCTCTCTCTCTCTCGCTGTGTGTGTGTGTTTTATGTTTTCTTTTACTCTCTTACTGTTTGTGAGTGTGTATTATTCTCTCTCTCTCTCTCTCTCTCTCTCTCTCTCTCTCTCTCTCTCTCTCTCTCTCTCACTGTGTTTATGTAAGAGCAGTCTGCAGTATATAAGCGTGCGCAGTGAGCGTCTCCTCAGTTTTCTCTCCGCTGCTGCTGATGATGAAGATGATGATGATGGTGAACGGTGTGTTTGCTCTGCTCTTCGTCCTGCTCTCTGCTCTCTCCGTCAGCGCGGAGGTTCTGCCGCCCGCAGACTTCGACATCAAGGGGGTGAGCCTGAACACACACACACAGAAAACAGAGATCATTAGGAAGAGTTTTGCAAAAAACATACACCATTTTTTTTGTCCTTAAATAAATAGTTGATCACTTTTGTTGTAATCTAAATGTACTGGAGATATTTGGGTGAACAGTGCTATTCTTAATTTATTAATATTCATTCTTAAATCATTGTTTTTCTTATAGTTTATTCTTTTTTTCAAAATGTATTTAGTTCATGCAAATATGTACAGTTGTAATGATGCATTTAGAGTTTAGAAATTTTAAATTGTATTATGTTATGTTATATTATATTATGTTATATTATATTATGTTATGTTATGTTATGTTATGTTAAATTATGTTATTATTTTATAATAAATTAAAATAAATTATATCATATTATATTATATTACATTACATTACATTACATTACATTATATTATATTATATTACATTACATTACATTATATTATATTACATTATATTATATTATATTATATTATATTATATTATATTATATTATATTATATTATATTATATTATGTTATATTATGTTATATTATGTTATAATAAATTATAATAAATTATATTATTTTATATTATATTATGTTACATTATATTATTTTGTCATATTATATTATATTATGTTATATTATATTATAATAAATTATAATATATTATATTATATTATATTATATTATGTTATATTATATTATGTTATGTTACATTATATTATTTTATGTTAGATTATATTATGTTATTATTTTATAATAAATTATAATAAATTATATCATATTATATTATATTATATTACATTATATTATATTATATTATATTATATTATATTATATTATATTATATTATATT